CTCTGTCATTCCTGGCTTTACATATTTTACCTGTTTATTTTTAGGTTCATATGTATCTACATTGGTTCTATATTTTCATTTTATTGTTGCTTTTACCAGTATTTCTATTTTGTTGGAAAGTAAGATTGATAATTCCAGCTTTCTTTTGGTTCATGCTTGTTTTTTATGTTTTCCACCCTTTTATTTCCAACCTATTGTTGTCTCTTGCAGACCATATAATGTTGAATCTTTTCTTTTAAACCCAGTTTGACACGATCTTTTAATTGGTGAGTTTAACCCATTTGCATTTATTGTGAAAGTGTTTAGTGTATAATTATCTTTTTTCTAAAGAATTTATTTATTTATTTATTTATTTATTTATCTGACAGACACAGAGAGAGAGAGATCACAAGCAGGGGGAGCAGTAGACTCCCCCTGAGCAGGGAGCCTGATGCAGGACTCGATTCCAGGACCCTGGGATCATGACCTGAGCCGAAGGCAGATGCCCAACTGACTGAGCCACCCAGGTGCCCCTGTATAAACTACTTCAGTTGGAAGCCTGTCATTGGGACTAATTGTACTTGCTGTTAAAGTTAGTGTATGTTGTCACCTCATTTCATATTTTCTATTCACTGCACGTTCTTTGCATTTATTTTTTTTTCTCTTTTCCTGTTTCTTCTGGGCATTTCTTTCTGCTGGTTTATGTAGTATGTTCTGTTTGGGTTCTCCCTGCGGCCACCCTGGATCCCCTTCCTGTTCACTTACATGGATTGACTTCTTCTTCTTTTTTTTTTTTTTAAAGATTTTATTTATTTATTTGAGAGAGAGAGAGAGCGCCCAAGAGGGGGTAGGGTCAGAGGGAGAAGCAGACTCCCCGCTGAGCAGGGAGCCCGATGCGGGGCTCCATCTCGGGACCCTGGGATCATGACCTGAGCCGAAAGCAGTCGCTTAACCAACTGAGCCACCCAGGCGCCCATGGATTGACTTCTTAACCTTATCTTCGTCTGTGTCTTCCTTCTGATGAGATAGACGTCTTGGCGTGCTCTCATTGTCTTTCATCTTCACCCTCCCCATCTTGTTGTGCTGGTATTATCTATAGTTTTAGTTCTAGATTGTTATGCAGATTGCACGTATATTATAGGTTGTATGTTTATTTTCTTTGGTCATTGTTTTTTGGATGAAAGTAAACTCACTTGTTATTTCCATCTTTTTTCTCGTGTAATGCCTCCTGTGTTTGGGTCTCCTTTATTTGAACACTGCCTCCAAGAGTGGTTCCAAAGTCGATTCTTGATGGAGTGTCTTAGGACTTTATGTGCCTGAGAAGATCTTTATTACATCCTTACACTGAAACGATAATTTAACATTTCAAGTACAAGTTATTTTCTTTCAATATTTAAGGGTACTATTCCATTGTCTTCTTGAATTCAGAGTTGTCTCTGAGAAATCTGATGTCACGTGAGATTTGGGATTTCTCTCTTGCCCCTGGAGTGTGCGGGTGCGGGCTTGCCTTCTCCCTCTCCCTCTCCTGGAGGACTGTCTGCAGCCCCTTTACTGAGAGTCTCCCGGGGCTCTGCCTCTAAGGCTCTCACCGTTCTGTCTCCCTTTCTCGGGCTTCCCTGGGTAAGTTTCTCCTCTATTGCCCATGTCTCTGAGAGCTTCTTTCCTTCTCTTCTCCTTCTGGGAGATTTCCTCCATTGGATCTCCCCTCCCTCTCCTGCTGCTCATTCCATCTGTTATTTCTTGCATCAATAATTATGGTTTTATTCCTGACCTTCCCAAGTAGATGTTTTGATGACTGTCCTCTGTGGGTGTCCGTTACTCTGTCCTTGACTCTGGTGTTATTTGGCCCTGTCCCCAGAGGTGGACTTGGCCCAGTTGGCTGGCCATCTCCTAATGATACGAGTTATCAGGCCATGAGTCTTTAGGCGGTCAGGTCTAGTCCACGGTTGTGCGGCAGGCCAACCTGCAGTGGGGAGGGGTGAGCCCCGGGGGCAGGCTGAGACCCCACCCCTCAAGATGCTCCTCCTACCATGCTAACCCCCTCCCGGTTGGCTGCCCTCCCTGACTAGTTCCTGTGTTGGAAACTTAGCTTTCATGGGAGGGTCAGTGGCCATCCTCTGGCTTTGGAGGCCAGTGTAGGAAGGAGTCAATGACCTGTGGTGCATGTTTCCACTGTTCCCCACTGCACTCAGCCACCCTGTTTCTGCAAGTCTCAAAGCTCCCTGCCCCCCTCTGTGGCCTGGAGATGGAGGCTGTTCCTTCAAGTTTTGCTTCTCACAGTCAGGGTCCTTGCTTCCACCTTCTGTGGTCTCAGCCCACACCTGCACGGCTGACAGAGCATTTGCTCTGTGGAGGTCTATTCTGAGGGTTTACCTGTGGTGTTCAGTCCTCATGACACCCTACCAGGTAGGGCAGCCATTGTCCCCATTTTACAGATGAAGAATTTGAAGCCTGAGAAGCTCAGGCACAGAGGAAGATAGTGGGGAACCAGGACTCAGACAATGCTCAGGCTATTTGTCATGAGAGGAATGAACCAGGCATATTTAGGTATCTGTCTGTCTGTCTATCTTTATCTGACATGACCAGCACACGGTGATGCTCGTTAAGGTTCGGGAGAGGTGGGGGACATGGAAGGGGAACCCAGCCCTGCCCCCCACATTGTCACAGTCTGGAGTGTAGAGAGAGAAGCAAATGGCCATGGGACAATCATGAGCGTGGAGGATGGAGGGGGATCGTGAGGAGGGAGGAGGATCATGGGGCTGAGACTCGGGCACAGCCTCTGGTCACTGGGGTAGGGTCAGACCGAGACTACCTCAGGTGACAAGAGCCTCTGGAGGCAGGCTAGAGGTGATGTCTTTCATCTACAGGAAGTTGTTTCAGGAGGGTGGGGAGTGGGGGGAGGGCTGAGGCCCCTGGGAGCCGACGGTCGGGGAGGGGGGCAGTGGGAAGTGAGTCCGGCCTGGCCTGGAAACCACAGAGCCCCGTTCCTGAAGACAGTGTAGAGCCCACACCCCTCATTTACAGAGAGGAAATTGAGGCCCAGAGGCAGGACTTGTCCAAGGCCATGCTGATGAGTGGTCAGAAGTGGGGACCAGAAGCCAGAAGGCAAGTGATAGACACCTGCTGCATATTCAGGTCTGCGGGGCAGCCTGCATTTCTTCTGGGGATCCCTGGGAGGTGGGGACACCAGTACTTGGTGACTCTGTCTGTCTTCCTGACTCTGCCATTTGGGTCCCAGTGGCAGGTCCCTGGTGCCCTCCACAGGAACCACTGAGACCCTGTTCCAAGTCGCTTGCCCCAAGCCTGAGGTGTCCTGGTGACGCCCCACCCTGGCAAGCACACATCCCACCGGCCAGGGAGAACCAGTGTCAAACCCCTGTCTGTTCTTCCATTCTGGACATGAAAATGTGCCACAGGCCCTGCTGTGCGTTATAAACGTGGGGTCACACACACTCTCCATACCCAGCGCCATTTCAATGCTTGCTGTATGGATGCACCATAGTGGAGAAAGCAATTCTCTTTTTTTGGACATTTAGATCATTTCTGAGTTGTATCAAAAGCAAGCAATAAATATCACTGTAATTTTGTCCCTGTGCCCAAGGATCATTTCCCAAAGGTGCAATTCTAGAAGTGGGATTTCCAAGTAAAAAGAACGTCATACCTTAACACTTTGATCTTTGCAAAACCAGTGAGTGGGTGAAGGGTTATCTCATTTCAACTGATATCTCATTGATAACTAGCAACTTGAATGGTTTCCTGCTTTTCCTGTTTATCACTCATTTTTTGCTATTTGTACATTTTTACCCAAGTTTTTGTTTACTTTCTATTGATTCAGATCTTTATAAATTAAGCATATTAACCCTTTTTCTGTAATTTATTCCCCTCCTCCCCCATTTGTGGATCTTGTCATGTGTTTTTCTTTTCTTTTCTTTTTAGATTTTATTTATTTATTTGTCAGAGAGAGAGGGGGAGAGAGAGAGAGAGCACCAGCAGGGGGAGCGGCAGGTGGAGGGAGAAGCCGGCTTCCCGCTGAGCAGGGAACCCGATGTGGTGCTCGATCCCGGGACTCATGACCCGAGCCGAAGGCAGACATTTAACTGACTGAGCCACCCAGGCATCCCAGTAGTGTTTTTCTTAAAGATTTATTTTATTTATTTGAGAGAGAGAGAGAGCGAGCCTGTGGGGACGAGGAGCCGGTGAGCGGGAGGAGAGGAGGCTCCCTGCTGAGCGGGGAGACTGAGGTGGGACTTGATCCCACGCCCCCATGCCCCAGAGACCATGACCTGAGCCCAAATCAACAGTGGGTCACTCAACCACCTGAGGCACCCAGGTGCCCCTATTTATTTATTTATTTGAGAGAGAGAGTGTTATGTGTGCATGCTAGTGTGCGTGCCAGCGCGGGGGGGAGGGGAGGAAGGGTGGGGGGGAGCCTGACGATGGTGGGTGAGAACTCCGGTTGATTTGCCCCTTCTGCAGCCCATCCAGGGCTATAGGGGCCCCCTGGGGCCTGGAGTGCTGAAGTGCCCCCTTGCTCCTCTCCCTCCTCAGTGGTCTCACACATAATCACACCAGCTGCAAAAGTCCTGGAAGATATTTGGGGAAGGGGGTCAGTCAAGCCCTCTCCCTCCTTGGCTCTGAGCTGGCTGAGAAATAGATGCTGGAGTCGGAAAGGGGAGAAGAGAAGCATTTTATTTCTGGCAAGCCTGGGTTAGGGACTGGGCTTCCCCTCCCTCTTGTCCCTCCACCAGGCCCTGGGCCCGAGTCCATCCAGAGAGAAGCCCCTCCTGCCATGTGAGGGGAAGGGCAGCAAGCATCAGGACACAGAAGCTTCCTCCCTGGTGGGCCCAGGGAGGGCAGCCTGGAAGGCAGGAGGTAGGCAAGGAAGGCTTCCTGGAGGAGGTGCCGGGACACCAGGAGCCTGATGACTGCAGGGAGCTGCCTGTGTGACCTCACTGGGTCAGGCGGTCCTCTCTGAGCTGCGCCTGGGCAGAGGGAGGCCTGGGGGGGGGGCCCTGCCGGGCTCACTGGTACTCGTTGGGGGTGGACATCCTGTTTCGGCCTTTATAGGACATGTCCTCGTACACTATACATGCTGAGTTCTTATCCTCCACGCAGCACAGTTTCTTGACCTGAAAGATAAAGCCTATCCTCTTTGTACAGGGCCCAGCTCGTTCTGGGGCACCCTCTTTCTTCAATGCATACCCCCTTAGGAAGCTTTTTGATTCCACCCTTGAAATGCTGCTGGGCCTCAGGGCCCGCATGAAGTCAGTTCACAAGCGGCCTTGGGCAGCCCCGAGGTTTCCCAAGCTGCCCCAGGCTGCGGGTGGGTGGGGGGGGGGTAGGATGGGCGTGGGAACAGAGCCTGGGGGGCAGTGGCAGGGAGGTGAAGTATGAAAGGGACCTTGCCCTAGGGACCTGGGCGGGGGGTGGGCTGTCTCAAGGGGATGTGGAGCTGGGCAAAGGCAAGTGAGTGACCAGGGCAGAGCTGACCACTTCCTGGCACCTGTCTCTGTCACCCCCCCCATGCATGTTCACACCTGCTCACACCAATCTCACACCTACGACTCACACGTACATGTGCACACGACGCACACACAGGCTCACACACGGGCCTCCCCTGCCCTCTGAACATCTGCCTGGACCCTCTGCTCGCCCCTCAATGTCTGTCATCCCCCTGGGCTCATGCCCGTCCCTGCTCATGGCTCCAGTTCCTGGTTTCCCTCCCACCTTGGACCCTGCCATCCGAACCCCCGCACAACTCCCGGGGGGCCCTGATGAGGGGATGGGTGGGTCCTGGGGTTTCTCTGGGGCTTAACCCTCTCCTTCCCTCCCTGCTTTCTTAGAGGAGCTGGCTTATAGGGGCACAGGTGGGATCTGGGGGTCCACACTGACCTGTGTCTTCCTCAGCACACACACTGCCCCTATCCCCAGCCCGAGGAAGAAGCAGCTCATCGCCAGGACCACAGGGAAGGCAGAGATCAGCTGAGCCTTCTGGCACGTGTCTGCTTCCTGGGACACTTTGTCTGTGAAGAGGAGTGGAGAGGCACGTGGCAGGTGGTGGATTCCATGAGAGCCTTCGGGGTTCACGGAGGGGCTCTGGAGTGGGGGAATGGGCAATCCGGGGGGCTTCCTGGAGGCAGTGGGCTCAAGCTGGAATGAACAACTCAAGCAAGTGTAGAGGACACTTTGGGGCAGACAAGGGCAGGTGGAGCTGCCTGCCCAGCAGGTAGGTGGAGCGGGTCCCAGGGTAGGCACGTTCCCTACCTGTCACCACCACCAAGGTGTCAGGGCCCCAGACCATGTCATCCAGGACCGCCTGGCAGGCATAAGCTCCAGTGTCAGACATCTGCAGGTGGCTCAGGGTGATGGTCAGGTTGTGCTGCAGCCCGGAGAAGGCAACGCGACCTCGGAAGCGCTCATCTACAGTGGGCGGCTTCTTGTCTTCGTAGTAAATCACACTGGTGGGCTTCGGCCACCTTTGCCTCAGGAAGACCCCGGACAGGGGCCCGCTCATGGAGCAGGTGATGCTGATGGAGCCTCCCTCGGGGACAATCGTGTAGGGGGGGAACTGCCGCACCTCTGCAGGAAGGAACCCTGCTGTCACCACAGCCTGGCCAGAGGGGCAGGGACCCTCCTCTCTGCAGGGGACGGTGGAGGAACAGAGGGGCCCTGGGACAGCCCCGTCTGGCCATGTCACCACAACGAGACATCTGACTGGATGCTGCTCCTGGGCACCCGCACCCCAGGGGCCGTACGCAAACGCTGATGGGGCCATGCAGGGGGCCAGCTGCCTGTGACCCTTCCCACCCTGGGGCCCCAGGGGAGTTCAGGCTGCAGCTTCTTCCTCCCAAAGCAGCTGGTTCTTCGCGGGGCAGCTCTGACCACTTCTCCCCACCCTACACCTTCTCCCTCTCTTAACAGACTGTGCCCAAGATAGCCAGAGGGGCTGTGCTGTCTCCTTCTCTCTTTCCATTGCTGGCTGCCTCAGTGTCCTCACCATTTCCAGGCACCTAGAACTGGTGGCTCTGTGCGGTGGGCACATCTGTGCTTGTCTGAGGGACACCCAGAAATGTCCCTGTCTGCCTACCCGGGGCCCAGCTGGACCAGCTTCCTGGTGCAAACATGAACCTTCTTTATTATTATTTTATTTTGTATTTTATTTTATTTGTCAGAGAGAGAGAGCACAAGCAGGGGGAGCGGCAGGCAGAGGGAGAAGCAGGCCCCCCACTGATCAGGGAGCCCGATGCGGGGTTTGATCCCAGGACCCTGGGACCGTGACCTGAGCCGAAGGCAGACGCTTAACTCACTGAGCCACCCCAGTGTCCCCATGAACCTTCCTTAATGTAATCCAAACATCAGCTTCTCAGCAAACTAAATTCTGGAGCTTTTTTTTCTTCTTCTGCTGAGTCTCCCCACCTCACTGCACTGATATTTCCATCTTATTGCAGAACTTTGCACATGTATCTTTTTTTTTTAAGATTTTATTTATTTATTTGAGAGACAGAGAGAGAATGAGAGACAGAGAGCACGAGAGGGAAGAGGGTCAGAGGGAGAAGCAGACTCCCCGCTGAGCAAGGAGCCCGACGTGGGACTCGATCCCGGGACTCCAGGATCATGACCTGAGCCGAAGGCAGTCGCTTAACCAACTGAGCCACCCAGGCGCCCTGTATCTGTTTTAAAAAGCAAACTAAAGGACAACATTCTCGCATAACCAAGGGAACCTCGCTAATTATTGAAAAGAGGATCTCCAGACATTTAAGTAAAGAAAAAGACCAGAGCCGTGGTGATTCTGCACCCAGACGTCACTGACGGGCGTGGGGGGGGGGTTGGTTTGTGGGGAGGTCACACTCAGCATCCCCAGACCACCCCCTTCCCAGGAAGGAGCATCCCCAGGTGGGGGCACAGAGCCCACTTTGGGGGAGCACAGTGGGGACATGGGGAGGGCTTACCTTGGGTGGCCAGAGCCCTGAGCAGGGTACAGGCGAGTATGAGGCGCACAGGGAGCCATGGGAGCTCTGGGGCCATGCTCACCACCACCCTGCCCACCACAGACGCAGTGACAAGGGAAAAGCAGGGCCCCCTCTCACGGCTGGCTGAGACTCTTCCTGTCTGCAGCACTTAATTGCATGCCACCAGCTCGCAGGCACCGCCCCCAAACCCCCAGGCAACGATGCAAGGGCGGGAGGCGGTGCCTGGTGGTCCAGGCACTCAGGCACTCCAGGAGGGCTTCCTGGAGGCGGTGCCACGGGCAAGGGTCGGTGCTGAGGGCCAGGCTAGGAGGGGCGGTCCTCACCCCCTCCACACTGTCCTGCTGAGTGCCCAATGGGTGACCAGTTGTCCCGGTCCCCCACTCCTGCTGTGTCTCCACAGGCCCGAGGTGGGGGGCAGGACCAGGAGAAAGCCAGGGGAGTCCTGGGTGGGGTGGGTTCAGGCTCCAGATGCCCTGGGTCCTCTGGGTCATTTTTCTGCTGAACCTGATTTATGCCCAGAAATCTGGCCTACAGTTCAGTGACCCCTGCATTATGGGGGCGGGGCCTGGAGGGCGGGGAGGGCCCCTGGAGGCAGGGGCGGGGCCGCAGGGAGCAGGGGCGGAGCCTGGAGGGAGGGCGTTGAAAGGCCCCAGAATTCAATCTCCTTAGAGAAACCCTCGAAAGGACAAGCAGCGAGGAGGAAATGAGCACAAAGACCCAGGCCCGGGACTTCCCTGTAGGCCTAGGCCGAAGTCAAGGCACCAGGTAGGGCCTCCAGTCTGGCGCTTTCCGCAGTGAGCGAGGACCAACCCCCCATCGGCATCTTTCCACGCCTTCTGCCTTTTTAGTGCTTTAAGACAGGAAGCAGCTTTTTTTGGTTTTTGTGTTTTTCCCCACTTAAAAAAATGTGTATTTCTCAGGTCATTTGATGATTTCTTGGTTGATTTATTTTATTCTTCGTTAGGATTCGGGTTATGGGTTTTCAGAGCACTGAACGTGTAGTTTATTTATTATTTATTATTTTTTAAGTAGGCTGCATGTCCAGCGTGGAGCCCAACGTGGGGCCGGCGCTCCACCCCAGGCCTCCATCCCCCACAGCTTGACTCCACGACTGCCGGCTGGAGGGATTCCCAAACTTGTTCTTGCCCAGTGCAAAGATAGGATTGTGCCCAAGATCAGCTTCAGACCCACGCTGGGGCATCTCCAAGGGCACAGCAGTGTGTGCCTTCTGCACCTGAGGCTGGAAGCCCAGACCCCCAGCCAGCCCTGATGGGGCAGAGAAGGGAGAGGTTCTTTGAGGTCAAATGTTTCGGAAGTTGAGATGCCCCCTTCCCCCCCCCTTTTTTTTTTAAGATTTTTTGATTTTTTTATTTGAGAGAGAGAGAGAGAGGGAGGAAGAGAGAGGGCATAAGCCAGGGGAAAGGCAGAGGGAGAGGGAGAAGCCGACTCCCCGGTGAGCAGGGCACGATCCCAGGACCCTGGGATCATGACCTGAGCCGAACGTAGATGCTTAACCACAGAGTCACTGACTGAGCCATCCAGGCGCCCCTGAGATTTTCCCATTTTTGACCACAGAGTCTGCTGGGGGGGAGTCGGGGAGCTGAGACATCTGCAGAAGGCTGAGGTGGGGAGGAGCCAGCCACTGGCCTGGGGTGGGGGTGGGGGGAAGCCCGAGGAGAAGCGGCTGCCAGCCTGAGTCCCGTCCTCCCCCCTGCTTCCCCGCCCCCCGGGGTGGGCAAAGAGCTCGCTCCTTGGGCTGAAGGGCTGAGCAGGTCTCCGGTGCCAGCAGGCAGGGACAGGGGCCTACTTCTGTCTGCCACCGCTGCGTGGTTCCTGGGCATCTGTCAACCAGATGGAGGTGGGACACACCGGGCTCCACTCCTGGGGGCTGAGTACGGGTGCTGGTGGCCTCAGAGTGGGGCAGGACTCCTGGAGTCGGTTCTGGGTTTCGGGCCTGTTTATCACCCTCCTCACAGGCCCTCCATCTTCCAGCTCAGAGGCAGCTCTTCTGAGGAGGGAGGGAGGGATGAGAGCCGTGCTAGAATCTGTGTGCGCTTAGGTCACGCGTGCTCACACTCAGGCAGACACACCCACCGGGCCACACATCCTAGGTGTCCTGGAAGGAGCAGGAAGTCCAGCCTCTCTGTGCTGTCCCAGGGTGTCCTGGGACAAATGAGTGCTCTGGGGACCCAGTGGGCCTGACGGGGAGGGGGGCACCTGCCACAGCCAGCTGGAGTCCCCCGAGGGAGGGGCGCGTGCTCTCTGGGCCTGGGGTGACCCCCACCCCCACCAGCCCACAGACTAGGGGCAGGGCCTCATACCTGGGGCCCTGAGCACTTCGAGAGGGGAAAGGGCAGGGGATCTCCGCCTCTGGTGCAGGCTAACACGATGACCACCAGGAAAATGAGGCCGGCAATGATGCCGATGACCACAGGGGCCACCCTGAACTGGTCCCCGGCCTTGGGCGGGCATGGTGTCTCTGGGCCTGTGGGGGGGGAGGGGGACATCACTTGTTCACTCACGAGGAATCACTGCCTGCCTTGAGCGCACCCTTGAGGGAGACATCACCCCCGAGGGCAGGGGGCAGGGGGCAGGGGGCAGTGTGCAGGAAGGACAGGGGTGTTGGCACGGAGGATGGGGACAGTCTGGGGGGACCTGAGGGGGCTTCCTGGGGGTACCTGGGTGTAGGGTAGAAACACCTACTGCAGGGGTGTGTGAAGAGCGGGCGTCCTCTTGCCTTCAGGTCCTCGGACTCTGCCCCTGATGCAGGTGAGGCCAGGTATCAGGTGAGACCAGGGTGCCAGGAGTCCACAGAGGGCTCGCTGGGTCCCTTCCCCGGGCCTGGCCGGGCGGGGGGCACCATTCTCAGCCAGCCCACAGCTCAGGAACTGGGTGGGGGGGTGTGGTGCCTGTGGGTTTGAGCAGCGTCCTGGAGGGGGTGCGGGGACAGGGAGCACCACTCCAAATGGCTGGAAAGTGAGGAACCACTCCCCTGAGGGGTCGGCAGGCGGTGGGGGGATGGGTGTGGATTGGTCAGAGGGGAGGCCCCGGTCTGGGGGAACCACTGGGCTCTTCAGGTGGACAATGTCCAGGGCACACCTGGGGCAGCAGGGCCAGGGCAGGGCCAGCTCGGGGCTGGCTGGAGAAACCGAGGGATCATGGGGCCTCTGAGTGAGGGCAGGAAGGCAGGACCTTCAGGGGCAGACCAAGCTCTGCAGGGGCCTCAGGGAGCACTGGGAGTGCGGGTGGAGTCCCACTCCAGAAGTAGTGAGTGGGAGGAGGTTTGGGGTGGAACGGCAGAGAGGTGCGTGGGCCTAGCCTCCTCGCTGGACAGGGCAGCCCCCCAGCCTGAGCCCCCTTGTGGTACAGGTTCTTGGAGGAGTGGAGGCCTGTCTTGTTTCATTCTGCTTTGTTGGAACCCAGGCCTGCCCTCTCTGGGCCCCATCCAGGGGCCCTGAGCATTTCTGCACTTCTGCACTTCTGCAGGGGGAAGAGAACTGCTCCCCCCCCCGCTGCCCCTCCCAAATAGGAAAGCACCCGGCGGGTGGGGTGGGGGGATGAAGATGCCACCCCTCACCTGAAACGTTCAGTGTGGTGACTCTGATATTTCTCTGCAGACCTTGCAGATGCCACCTGTAGCACCCTGCCTGGGTGTGGTTCACATCATCGATCACCAGCTGGGCCATGCTTCCCTGAACCTGGAGCTGCCACCCTCCCTGGCAGAAGCATCCTGGGGGCCGCATGCTGAAGACAGGCTCGAAGCTCTTCCCGTGGGAGCTCAGGTAGATGGCCACGCTGAGGAAGGGGTTGGAGATGTTGCAGGCCATCACAGCACGCTTCCCTCTGGACACAGAAACCACTCCTTCGGTGCAGATGGGGTTGTCCCATTCTGTGTGCAGGGGACAGGTCACACACAGGTCATGGCCGGGCCTCAGGACGTTCACTGACCACCCTCCCTGGGGCAAAGGGAGGGACGGTGACAAGGCAAGTTCCCCAGGGGCACACGGGCCCGGCTCAGGGTATGGAGAACACAGTGGGGTACATACACATCGATCAGACAAATCAGCACCTGTGCCTCAAGGGGGAAAACACCACAGAAATAAAAGCGGGGAGGTTGTGTGTGCTCATGCATGGACGCCCCCCGTGCGGCTGGTGTGGCCTGTCACTGTGCCTGGGCACATCCCCCAGAGCCCCTTCCTTGCAGGTGGGTTCTGGGGCAGAAGGAGGCACGTGCATGCTCTGCCCACTCACGTGAGTGTTGTTGAGTCTCGGCCAGGCCTGCAGCCGCCTCACTGTCCCCGGGGTCCTGGGCCAGGGGTGCACATCCGGCTCTGCAAGGAAGGTCCCCGTCTCCTGCAGGACACCGCCACCGCCAATGTCAGAGGCAACGAGCACGGACCCCCACCCCGCTGGCGGCTGTGGAACCAGCCCCACCATCTTGGGAGGCTGAGTTCTGGAGCAAATTCACCTGTTGCCAGCCTCACTGCACGATCTGGGCGACCTCTGGCAGCCGGCGCCCCCCGCGATGTGAGCTGGCCGGCCCAACCATCCTCCTGTCCTGCTGCAGCAGTTTCCACCGGGGACTGGACACAGGTGGACAGATGCCAGACAGCGGCACGAGCTCTGGGCACACTGTGTGCTGGGTGAGCCCCACTGTTCACCACATTTCACCAAGTCCACACAGCGTGGCAGGTGCCATGTGTGACCATGTGCCAGGGGCCTTGGATGCCCACGGGAGAGAGGGTGTGTTGAGGTGGAAGTTCTGCAAGGCAGGCACGGGCCTAGCAAATGCAGAGCGTCGGGGCTCAGTGGGCTCCTCCCAGGCCGAAGTCACAACCTGTACCTTGTGAGCGCAGCCAGCCAGAGCGGCTCAGCCAGCGGGCATGGGTCGGCGGGCAGCGGAGTGGAGAGAGAGCTCGATGCAGGGAGGCTGTGGGAGCCAGCAGGAAACTCCCCGTGTTCCAGAACGGGGCTACAGTGGGGCCAGTCAAGGCCCCATGGACGGAAGACCTCCACATGCCTGTCCGCGGCAGGAACTTGACCCGAGTCTCCCCACTGTCCCCCTCAGCCACTGGAGTGTTTGTTCTGAGGAGGGGTTTTAAAATGCCTTCTCGGGGCACCTGGGTGGCTCAGATGGTTAGGCGTCTGCCTTCGGTTCAGGTCATGGTACCAGGGTCCTGGGATGGAGCCCCACATCGGGCTCCTGGCTCGGCATGGAGCCCGCTTCTCCCTCTCCCTCTGCCTCTCCCCCTGCTCATGCGCTCTCTCTCTCTCTCTCTCTCTGTATCTCTGTGTCTGAAATGAATAAATAAAAATCTTAAAAAAATAAAAATAAAGTAAAATAAAATGGCTTCTCTGCCGAGGTGGTCTATGTAGACAATGGAATATTACTCAGCCATCAGAAAGAATGAAATCTTGCCATTTGCAATGATGTGGATGGAACCGGAGGGTATTATGCTGAGTGAAATAAGTCAATCAGAGAAAGACAATTATATGATTTCACTCATATGTGAAATTTAAGAAACAAAACAGGAACATAGGGGAAGAGAGGAAAAAATAAAACAAGATGAAACCAGAGAGGGAGACAAACCATAAGAGACTCTCCATCATAGGAGACAAACTGAGGGTTGCTGGCGGGGAGGGGAGGGGACATAGGGTCACTGGGTGACAGGCACTAAGGAGGGCACGGGATGTGATGAGCGCTGGGTGTGATATGAGACTGATGAATCCCGGCCTCTACCTCTGAAACCAATAACACAGTATATATTAATTGACTGAATTTAAATAAAAAAATAAAATGCCTTCTCTGCATCTTCACAAAATTGTCAAAGTGCTACATAAACACACACCTGTCATAAAAGTTCAAACAACTCTAAAGCAACCCCACTCCACCTATAGAGGGGCCGCCAGGTGGGGGGCCCCAGGCCGGGACAGAGCCCTCCACCCTGGTTGCAGGAGCTGTCATCACGCCCATGTGGGAGGCTGACTTGGGGCTGTCAGAGCCCGGCAGAGGGCTGGAACACTGGAGGGCTGGGCAGGACTGCCCTCATCTGTCCAGTGCCCAGGAGCAGGGCTCCAGGATGAGGGGCCTCTGCGGCTCACGGGTTTCCTGCCCAGATGTGCTGGGATCTGGCCTGGGGGTCCCCCACCCTGACCGCACCCAGGAACTGCGGGAGTAGTTACAGAAGCTCCCTCTGCCTGTGATTCTCTTCCACCGGTTTGGAGTGCGCCTGGGGCCCGGCACGTTTGAGGAGCCCCTCGGGTGGTTCCACTGCACTGCCCCGACCTAGAGCCGTGTGCGTGGACTGGTCCTGATTCTGCAGGGCCGAGCGTGTCCCGAGAGTCTGCATTTCTAGCAAGCTCCCAGGGGATACGGGAGCTGCTGGCCCGAGGAGGGATCCGGGACCGGAGCGGAGACGAACCCTGCTGCCCCTCCTCCGGCCACAGCACTTGTCACTGACTGGCCAGGACCCTCTTTCCCTTGGAACCTGGACACGCTCTTGGCCACCCCCATGTTCTGACGGTCATCACTGGGTGCTGGAGCGGGTATCCCCGTCTGCCACCCATGGGGGAACTTGGCTCATCCCATCATGGCCCAGGGTGCTGGGCCGGCCCCTCTCCTCAGGGCCATGGACAACCACCTGGGCCGGATGTGAATCTGCTCCTCCCACCCCTGCCTCGCCCTCCCCCACCCCCTCGCTGGGTCCCCCCAGCAGACAGGGTGGCATCCTGAGACTTACTTCCATTCTGAGCACTCAGGGAGGCAGTCAGGAGGATGGTCCAGAGCATCTGGGGCACCGAGAGGGGGAATGTCAAGGTCAGCATGGCCAGCAGGACAGGAGGCCTCAGGGGTCCCCCGTCCTCTTCATTGGTTCTTGGGACCCTCTCTGGAGGAAGGAAAGCCACAGGGTCAGAGGTCTCCCGGGCTGCAGCCTGGCCAGGGGCGGGCAGCAGTCCTGAGCTCCTCCCTGACCAGCTGTGCCCGGATGCCAGAGCCCCCGCCCCGCCTCTTCTCCTGCACCTTCTCTGTACCTTTATAATGCGCACGGTACTGGCCGCTGACGACAGACAAGAAACACAGACAAGACAGGAGGGAAGCCACCGGGAGAGAGACCTGCTGACAGCATCAGGATCATAATCCAATGTGCAAAACTGGCCTGAAGTGTGCTCCCGTGGACACGGGTCCTGCCCACTTGGGATCTGACACCATCCGCAGACCTCCCCGCCCTCGCACTTTCCTCGGCTGGGGGGCCCCTGCTGCCTTTCGGGACCCCCTTAGGGGACGCGCTCTTGTCAACAAAAGGAGCCCTCTCCTGGGGGACTCACACAGCGGGCCTCCCGTCTCCTCCCACGCAAGGACCCACTGCGGCTTCCGAGACCCTCTTGGCCTCCATTAAATGTGACATTTTTTCTGGGTAAACTATTTAAAAGTATTTTATTTTATATATTCATTTTTAAGATTTCATTTCTAAATCAACTCTGCACCCAGTGTGGGGCTCGAACTCACAACCCCGAGACCAAGAGTCCCGCGTTCCGCCAACTGAGCCAGCCAGGCGCCCCTATTTAAAAGTATTTTAAAATTGCTTGCCAGACCACTGGTTGACCTTTTGATTGAAAAATAATAACGGACTTTTTGTTTTGTCTTTGAGCAGTTTTAGATTTACAGAAAAATTGGGCAGAAAGTGCAGAGTCGGCATGTGTGAGCACTGTCGTGGCGCACACATCACAATCTGTGGACACGCGGCCATTGCCTGAAGTCCCTACTTCTCATACTTCACGGCTCACTCGTGCGTTGAACGCAAGGGGAGTTTGGACAAATGCATAATGACTCGCATCCATCATTATGTCCCCCACGGAGCTGTCCTAAAACCCTGAGCTCCACCTGCTCACCCCCTTCCCCCGATGCCCGGCAACCCCTGGTCTTCCTTGTGTCTCCACAGTTCTGCCTTTTCCAGAATGTCATACGGTCGGGACTCTTTGGTTTTGAATTCAGCTGTCTGCGGAGAATGGGGCACTAGGGCCAGCAGCACAAGGAACCTTGGACTTAATGGCCTCCAGGCCCAGTCCCGACCCCAGTTAAGGGGAGTCGCGCTGGCAGGAATGACCCCAGCCCCACCAGGGCCACAGAGCACCCCCATTCCGTGCTGCTGTGTCGAGCTCCCCAGACCGCTGGGGGCCTGAGCAGGCGGGCCTGTCCTCCCATCTTGACCCCATCAGCCAACCCAGGGGTTCCTGGCAGGTTTCCCGGTGGGGTCTTAAGTGAAAACCCACTGATCTGGGGGCCTTGGAGCAGCGAGAGAAGGCCCACCCTGCTCCGCACAACCTCACCAGGAAAGGAAAATGGCTAGATCCAGCTTTTGAAAGAAACATCTAATTTGAGATGGGAAGAGAGTTTCAAGAACGTTAAATGCAAACCACCTCCTGCGCTCCTGGCTTCCTGAATGGCACAGCCCCAGGGGCTCTGGGTGGGCGGCCACACTCGGGGGGTGGGGTGGGGGGAGGGGACCCTGGCACAGGCTGTGTGCACAGGCCCAGACCTGGCCCAAGCTGGCTTGTCCTCCCCAGAGACAGATAAGGAGGGATAGACAGACAGACGGCCAGGCTGATGGATGGAGGCTTTCCTTCCCTCTCAATCCACACAGGGCTCTGGGGTCCCGGGGTGGGTTGCATACAGGGTGTGGTGTGCCGCAGGTGTCCTGGTGCTCTGGGCTCCCGGGGGGCGAGGACCTGTGCTGAGCTGAGGGGCCCCTGTGTGCGTATGTGCCCTTCTCCCAAGGACACTGACCCTGAGTCCCTGCGACCAAGGGTTTTGGCCAATGTGCTGTATGTGCCTGGCGTCTTAGGAATGTTCTAGTAACTGTGTTCCTAAATTTCACAAGTTAGAAGAAACTGCTACACACCCGCCAGGCAGTTGTCCATCCATGGATGGATATCTGTTGAATGTAACAGTGCCCAGAGCTGCTCACTGCGGTCCTCGGGTGCCTTTCTTACCCCTGGTGCAGGCCAGGCCAGCGATCGGGGCCCAGGAGGCTCATGCCAAGCTCTGACCTGGACCCTGACATGCACCCGGGGCACACCCCTTCCCAAGCCTCCGGGGAATCACTCCCTGGCTTTCCATTGCTTTTGCCCCTCTGTTCATTCCTAAAACCCAGAGAAGCTTGATTCAGTAGTTTCTTTTCTTTTCTTTTTTTTAAAAGATTTTATTTATGGGGCGCCTGGGTGGCTCAGTCGTCAAGCGTCTGCCTTCGGCTCAGGTCATGGTCCCAGGGTCCTGGGATCGAGCCCCACGTCGGGCTCCCTGCTCAGCGGGGAGCCTGCTTCTCCCTCTCCCACTCCCCCTGCTTGTGTTCCCTCTCTCGCTGTGTCTCTCTGTCAGATAAATAAATAAAATCTTAAAAAACAATAAAACATAAAAAAATAAAAGATTTTATTTATTTGAGAAAGAGAGAGAGAGTGCATGAGCAGGGGGAGGGGCAGAGGGAGAGGGAGAGAGAGAGAGAAGCGGGCTCTGTGCTGAGCGTGGAGCCGCACTCAGGGCTCGATCCCACGACCCCGAGATCACGACCTGAGCCGAAACCAAGGGTCAGTCGCTAAACCGACTAAGCCCCCCAGGCGCCCCTGATTCAGTAGTTTCTGGTGGTGTAACAGGGGCTGTTCCTGGTAGATGGGCCTCCCCTTGCAATCTTGCCAGGCCCAGGCCCGGGACAATGGGGTGTAACTCACCCGGGAGCTGAGTCACACAGGCCTCACCAGGCGTGGCCACATTCCAGGAGGGCCTGGGGTGGGGGCTGGTGCTGCTGTCTCCTCACTTCCTTTGCTTGACTTTTCTTCCCCTTTTTATTTTTCTGAAGTAGGCTGTACGCCCAGTGTGGAGCCCTACATGGGGCTTGAACTCACGACCCTGAGATTAAGACCTGAGCTGAGATCAGGGGTCGGATGCTCCACCGACTGAGCCCCTCAGACACCCCTTTGCTTGATTTTTCTAAACTTGTTTGTAGTTTGAACGTAAGGCAAGAAGGACCATTTTTCTTCTCAGTATATGTGCACCACACTTGGAAAAGCAACAGAGAGAAGCTGAGGAAGGAAGAACCGCCAGAAGGATGCCCTCCCCCACAGAAGCTGCGGCTGCTCTGTGCCCGGCTCTCACGGGTCCTGTGCCCAGACAGGAAGCCTATTTGATGAGATCCTTCATCACAGATACGCCGCCCCAGTCCTCCCTCCCTCTCCCTCCATACCGTGTGCATGGGGTGAATGGCGGCCCCCAAAAGACACGCCCGCCCACAGCCTGCAAACGGGACCTTGTTTGGAGAGAGGGTCTTTGCATCCCTAATTACTTAGGACGAGATCGTATCGGAGTAGGGTGGGCTCTGACTCCAACATGACTAGTGTCCTTAGAGGAAGAGGGAAATCTGGACAGAGACAGAGACACACCGGGAGAACGCCGCAGGACGACGAGGGACAGGGGCTGGGGTGTGGCCACCAGAAGCTGGAAGACACAAGGATCCTCTCTCAGAGCCTTGGAGGGCGCGCGGCCCCGCCCACACCTAGATTTTGGGCTCCTGGTCTCCACCACTGTGAGAAAACAAACATCTGGGCGCCTGGGTGGCTCAGTCGTTAAGCGTCTGCCTTCGGCTCAGGTCGTGGTCCCAGGGTCCTGGGATGGAGCCCCGCATCGGGCTCCCTGCTCAGCGGGAAGCCTGCTTCTCCCTCTCCCTCTGCCTGCCTCTCTGCCTACTTGTGCTCTCTCTCTCTATCTCTCTGTCAAATAAATAAATAAAATCCTAAAAAGAAAAAGAAAACAAACATCTGTTGTTTTGAACCCCCAGTTTGTGGTCCTTTGTCACAGCCGCCCAGGACGCGCACACGACCCCCTGCCCCTGAGCCGGCGGCTGCATGCACCCAGTGACCGAGTGACTCCAGCTTTCTCTGGACCCAGACAATCACGCGCAAGCCCCGGGCGTGGAGGGAGCGTTCAGGGTCGTGCTACCTTACTCTGCATCTGGGTCTCACCTCGCTGTGCCCTTTGGGGGAGGCCTAAACCCCCACTCCCTGGGGCCCGCACCCTGGTGAGGGCCGCCCCCCAGCGCCGCCCTCCCCCCAGGCCTGTCCCTGTGGCCCCGACAGGGCCTGGTGCCTCGGGACGTCCATCTCACCCTGGCCCCCGCCCTTTGGGTGTCCATGTGGCCGCGGCCTTTGCAAACTCCGCCTACTTTTCTCGGGTTGTCTGTCTTCTCCTTACGGGTTTGTGAGACTTAGGTTTTGGAGAAACAAACTGTTATCCTCAAGGCAAACGTGCTCCTACTCCATCATTTCTCCTAGGATTGTTTCTGGAATAACAAGACCCTACATGTTTATGTCATCCTGTGTTGTCCTTGAAAGCTTCAAGGTTTCATTTAAGTAAAGTGTTGTTTGTTGTTTGAGGTATCCTTTTGCAGAAGCCTCCCAGACCGTGGGGAATCCACGGACCGCCAAACTGGATTTCCACATTCGAATCATGAATCACCTCAAAGCCATTTTGCAAGGGTCGCGTGACAGGGTCCAACGCTGCTTTCTTCCAAGAAAGTGGGCTGTGCCCAAGGCATCCCGAGAGTGGTACACCCCGTCCCCTCCATCCTGCCTCTGCCCGTGGGCGACTCGCCCAGGACGCTGCCAACCCCAGAGCTTCCAGTAGCTTTGTCAGCTGTGTTCACCCTGGGAAGGCAGGTTCTCTCCTCTGCTCTGTTTATCTTTCTTTACAGGTTTGTTTCTCCATGAGAATATTTTAACATAACTGAAATCAATTTTCTTCTTAGAACCAGAATTTGCTGATGACTGGAGAGGGGCGGCTGCCCGGATCCTGCCCAAATGAATCTGCTCTGAATAACATGAAAGACGTGGAGATTTCACAGCTGGATGCGATCCAGTGGCATCCTTGTTGGTTTCGATGCCTGTCAGCAATCGCCAAGATCAGGCACGAACAGTTCATTAAATGCTGCTTACGTGGATGGAAGATTCTAGAAAGAGGAGTCAAAACTCCCTGTGCTGGGGCTTTTCCTGGCCCCTCAGATAAGATTTGCTCAGTTTTCCCCACGCATTATTACAAGATAACTTCTCTTGAATTGGAAGACACACATTTTTTCTTCCTTTCTTTCACCCCCCTTACACAAATCCTCTTAAAACGGTGCCCAGTGGCCCACAGGCATCCTTGCTGATCCCAGTGGCCTCTCCCAGGCCGGTGGCCAGAGCCCTCCGTGTCAGCCTGAGGGAGAGATCTGAGTGGGCACTGCCCTACCCCCAAGCCGGGCCGTGCGCAGGGCTACCACGGAGCCGCGGGTCACGGTGCGGGCCGAGCACCAGCCCTGTCTGTGGCGTCCTGCCTCCGGCCGGGCCGTTGAGGAGGCCCTAGGCAGGCCCCGTGGTGTTTCTGGTCTCCAGCTTCGAGAACAGTCTGCAGGGGCCTTTGCAGTTCCCTCAAGCCTTCCCTGAGCTTCCCAGGGTCCCCCTCCTGTGATGGGGGCCAGGGCTTCCCCCCAGTGGTCCCTTCTTGGTCCTCGGTGCACCCGTCTGTTCTCTGCTGCCCCGGGCCAACCTCAGCACAGCCTCGGGTGCCCACGCTTCCCTGGTGCTCCAACGTGGGTCGGGGTCCCCCCGTCTTGGGGGTGGAAGGAGGCAGGCCAAGCTCTCCTCTGGCTGGAGGTGAGAGAGCACACTCCAGGGGAGGCCAGCTGACCCAGGCTCCAGCCCTGCTCGGATAGGCGAAGGCACACCCGAGCTATAGCGGGCAGGAGTCCCCAGCGCAGCGTGCAGGATTCACACGGGAACCAGAAGCAGATGGCCACCGGGGCGGCCAGCCCCACGTCCTGGGCGCTGAGTGAGTCTCCCATTGGTGGCCTGGTGTGCACTGAATGCCCAGCGGATGTGCCTCTGCGCCCTCCGTCCAGACATGCGTGTATTTCCACCCCAGGCGTCAGGCGCGACCTCAGGACTTAGCAGGAAAGGCAGGAGATACCCACGGGTCTGCAGTACTTGGAACGAGGCCCTTCCCCTCAAAACCTCCCTCATCACACCATTGTCCTGACCATTGCCGGGTATTTATCCTTCTCAGTAAACTTAGGGGCGTGTTTCGAGTTCCAGGTAAACTGTGGGGATGTTGACTGAGAATAAACAAATGAACGGGCTGTTTCATAATCCTGCACCAGGGCCTCACTCCACGCAGAGCCAGGGCCATCTCTGTGGGGTCTTCTGTGATCCCACGCAGGCTCCCTGGCCCCCTGAGACACGGCCGCACCCCCTAACACACACAGGCGCACATGGGCACACGCACCCTCTCTGTGATCCCCTCAGGCCCTCAGACATGCTCTGCATGCAGCAGGTGATCAGTCCCTGTGGACCTGAACGGCCTCCCCGCCAGGGTCTCCCTTCTGGTCCTCACTTGGACCAGGCGACATGGAGAGTTGGTCACCTCAGCGAAGATGACCTGCCCCCCCTGGACTTTGACAGTGTGTGTGTGTGTGTTGACGAGCAAAAGGAAAGTGAAAGGCAGGCAGCCTTGCTCCGTCACATGAGGCAGCTGGGTGTGGGAGATGCTGACCTTCTGCAACCAGGGCACGGCCCCTGGAGGAGATGGGGTGCGGGGTGCCCCGAGCCCCAGGCAGTCCTGGTCCGGTCACCCTCTGCTCTCAGGTATTTCGTCTGCCTGCTGAGGGAAGCATACCAGCCGGGGCCGGCCCCGCCAGCCTTCCAGGCCTCATCAGCCTCCCCGCCCCACCCGCTCCCAGCCTCTGCAGTTTCTAATACACCACGTATCCCCCGATCCTAACAATTATTTTACATTGACTAATTTTTAAAATCTTATTATCTACTCTGGCCTCACCTTAAGAAATACACATCTGTAGTGATCGTTAGATGTGCTATTTATATGTTTTTCTAATGTGCAATGAACTGGCTACAAGACAAGCCCGTAAGTGTCATGGACTCCCTACCACCACCGGCATCCTCCCGTGGTCCCTGGACCTGTCTCGTCTTCCGCCATGTCCTCCAAGGGAGGCTGGAGTTTGTGCTCACTGAGGGCACGGGCTCCAAGATGGGCACTGGCTGGGACTCCAGCCTTCTCTTCCCACTGCCCAAAGCCCTCCCCCACCAAAACCTTCCCCCCAGGCTCTGGATGGCCCTCCCCTCACTCACAGGCATCTATGGGTCACTCTTCACACTCTCCTTGTGTTGGGAGAGGTCCTGCCTCTTTGTGAAATCCCCTGGTTCCAGACTTAGGATAAGGGGATAACTGAGTTGCTCCCCTTTTCACCTCTAAACTGTGTCCACCTTGGGGTGGTGTCACATCCTCCATCGCAGCCCCTGTGGCACTGGGTGGAAGTCAGTAGAGCATGCAACTCGCTCTCAGGGCCGTGAGTTCAAGCCCCACACTGGGTTTGGTGACTATTAAAAAAAAAAAGTTAAAAAGAAAAAGAACTGGACAAGAGATGGGGGATCTGGACTAGAGATGGGGATCCAGACTAGAGAGGGAGGATCTGGAACTAGAGTTAGAGATGAGGGATCTGGACTAGAGTTAGAGATGGGGGATCTGAACTAGAGATGGGGGATCTGGACTAGAGATGGAGGATCTTAACTGGAGTTAGAAATGTGGGATGCAGACTAGAGATGGGGGATCAGGACTAGGGTTAGAGATGGGGGATCCGGACTAAAGATGGAGGATCTGGACTAGAGTTAGAGATGGGGGATCCGGACTGGAGATGGAGGATCCGGACTGGAGATGGAGGATCCAGACTAGAGATGGGGATATGGACTAGAGATGGGGGATCCGGACTAGAGATGGAGGATCTGGACTAGAGTTAGAGATGAGGGATCTGGACTAGAGATGGGGGATCCGGACTAGAGATGGAGGATCCGGACTGGAGATGGAGGATCTGGACTAGAGTTGGAGGATCTGGAACTAGAGTTAGAGATGAGGGATCTGGACTAGAGTTAGAGATGGGGGATCTGGACTAGA